CCGGTCGCCATTAAACCAAAACGGGGCCTTTTCCTGCAAAATGGAAGCCAGTTTAGAATTTTAGCGGCTGCAGATTCCCTCCTTGCAACACCGGAGTTACTTCCTGGGGTTTTTTACCTCAGAACCTCTCTCCGACAGGGGAGCTGGCCAGGGTGGCTGGAGAGAGAGGAGTGAGGGAGGCTGGGAAGAGGAGGAGGAGGAGGAGGCCATATCTTGAAGTCCGGGTGTCACCAATGTAAATTTTGTGTCAGGGGGTGCAGACTCAGGTACCTCAGCCCACCCCAGTGCCACCCAGAGCTCCCCGAGTCCTTACCTTGTAGATGCAGGACTTGGCGTTCAAGAAAAACAGCTCGATGGTGGCATTGTCCTTGAGATAGGAGATGCTTTCAATGTAGAACCTGAAAGGGAAAGCAAGAGAGGTGAGACACAAGGGCCAACTAGGGCAAAACGTGAAAATGAACTCATTACATGAAAAATGTGGTCAATGGGGTCATGATGAGTATACTAAAAATGAAGTTTCTTTGCTGATGACAGACAGGGGTGATGCAAGAGGCTTGTGCATGCTCCAGCACGTGATCAGTCGCCACCACCCCAGCCACACCACAGGAACTGGAGCATCCAGAGGACAATTTGGTTTCGAAATAATTGTTTATTTTATTTTTAAATTTCAAAGAATCCTTTATTCTGTTTGCTTGTAAACTCCCCTTCATTCTTCATCATATTTTGGCATTTCTCCTTCACTCCTTTACCTAACCTGCCCGTTTCTGTGCTGTTAGCCTGCATCTCGTAAAATGTTCACTGACAGAATTCCGCTGCTGGGATTCTTCCCTGTCCACTTTAGCTCTGCATAAGGCAAGTTTTATAAAGGCTTCGTTACGTATTTTAGCAGCTAGCACGTAGCAGCTATGGTTGCAGAGTAAGCAACCAACAATAGTTAAGGACCTTGCACAATTCACCAGTACCATGAATAGCCATGCTGGGGATGACTGGGAATGACAATAATATAATTTTTTTTGAGCTAAGATGAGTTTTCAGCACGCAGGAAAAAGCTGCCCAGCCCAAATCCTCGGTGTCAGAAAAACCCATTGGCTGATTACTCTGAATACTTGCAATTATGTCAGAAGTTCATCGTATAGAACCATAGAATATCTCAAGTTGGAAGGGACCCATAAGGGTGGTGGAGTATGAATCAGTTCAGTACTCCATGTCCTGCCTGCTTTGGCAGTGAGCTCCATGAGAGTTTTGCCACTGGCTTGAATCGACTCCAGCCTTTAATTCTGCCTTGTGACCTTTTGGGGGAAAAAATCTTGGGATAAAAATAAGCGCAAGATACCATCAAAATTAATAACTAATTGCATATGAGTATGTTGTGTGTTCCTGTAGTAACAGAGAAAGCCCAGATAGGTTCTGTGAATGGTTAAGGTGAATTTTGCATTTACTTTGTATTTTAAGTAAGGAAGAAAAAAATCTGTCTGCCCAGCAGGTTTTATAGTGTTTAAGTTGCAGTGCAGTGACAGCAATGTTCCTTACATAAATTCCAGTACTATCGTGCCTTGTCAGAAGCAATTAGAATGGGGAAGGTGCGAGGGAAATGCTGTCTGCATCAGGGAGTTAAAAAACCGAGATACCTTAGAAATGTGGGTTGAGATGCAGGGTCTGGTTACAGAGAAACCTTACTCCCTGACCCTGCTGTCTGGGAACGGAGCTGAGACCCTCAGACGCTCCCGGGGCTTCACACAAGCGCTGGAGGGGTTGTCCGTGTTGGGCTATTTGCAGAATCGAGGGCCTTAAATGTAACCTTCTTAGGGGTAAAGGTCAAAGCTTTGTAGTGCTCCTAAGTGTCTTCTGAAGACCCTTCAAAACAGTTTATTTCTTGACAGATACAACCAACTACTTGCTTACTAGAGCAAGAGAAATGTTTTGAATGCATCTTGCTCATCTGCTGAAGTGCTCCTGCTATTATCCCTCCTTTTCCCCCTCCAGAAGAGTTCAAATGAGAAATGAAAATAAAACTCAAATAAAAAAAAAACAACCATTTGAACATAGATATCATGAAGCACAAAAATTAAACTTTTTCTTAATTTTTTTTTCTGGTTTCCACTAGGTTTCACCTCCTGTCCTTGAAACTGCCTCTTTTTTTTTTTTGGCAAATAAAAATATACTTGGCTTTAGAAATGAAGAAAGTTGCTGCATTAAAAAAGGAACCTTCTTACTAGATCTGCTCTCTGAGTACAGCTGGCTTTCCATCTGCTGAATTCATGGAGAAAAATGATAATTTCACACATTTGATGATTCTTGAAGAACCTCCTCTGCTTATCATCACTGCCAGTGCTCTCCACGTTGTGATGGCAGGATCTTTAATTCCAGGGTCAGAAGAACACAGGAACATTTATTCCGTTCTTGAATCCCAGTGAAGGTTAGCCAAAACGCTTTTTGTTTCACCAGATCAAACGAGACCATCCTCATCATCACTAGAGGGCAATATTGCATTTCTTAAGACTGCAAGGATCTTTCCCGAGGCTTTCCACATAGAACATTTTCCGTGCAAAATCGAGTCTCTCGGAGCACAGAGCCTGCACGTGATACTTCATCTTCACGAAGAAGACCCAATCCTCAAGTGATCGCCAGAGTGGAAAGTATGCTGGGGAGCTACTGGCTCTCACACATGCATCCAGACAAATGCAAAGCATGTGCACCAGGAAATTGGTGCTGCTTAAAAGAAAACAGATTTGCAGAGAGAACTCGTATGGGATTTTCTATGTGGCAAGCTCAGAAAACCCGAACTGGAGCAGACTCCCCTGAATTCACAGCCGGTGCTGCAACAACAGAAAGGGGAGGGAAAGACCCGTTTTTTACACTGATCGTGAATCTCTGTCAGACCTCCTCCTGCTACCACCGTTTCCAAAGACAGTGAAGGAAACCGCGCTTTACAATGACCAATGTCAGTGACTAAGGAGGCAGGAAGAAGCACCCAGCTGCTAAGGCAATGAACCAAGCAAGAAATCTGGGTTAAATTCCTGACTTGGACACCGGTTTCCTTAATGACCTTCAGAAAATCATTTAGCTGCTTGGGGCTGTTGTGCTGTGTTTAGAAACTACTCCTCCCTCCTCTGCCCGCCCTCTGTCTGTTTTGCCCGTTAAGTTTATAAGCCCTCTCTTACGGCATGCTTCAAGATCATCAGTTTTAAGGGGCAACTCTCAGATTTCTGTTGAGGGCTCCCCTGAGAGCCGCATTCCTCTGTGTGCTGTGAAGCTGATATATCCAGGAAATAATGGATGGGCTGGACAGAGAAACAGGCAGTGCCATGTGTCCGACACCTCCGCTTCGCTACCCACATCTCTTGCAATACAGCCAACAAACAGCTTTGCCTCAAGCAGCTCCTGCAAGAGGTTCCTTGATAGCCAGCAACTGTTGCTATGAGAAATTAGGTGCCTGCAAAAGGGGGGAGCACCCCACAAGACTTTGTAAGTGTAAAAACCAGAGAAATCAGGTTTGAAAAAATTGAGAAGATCAGCCAACGTTAATCTGTTTCTGCGTTCCCCACTTCTCCCTGCCTCCAGTAACTTATGATTCATCAAGTACATTTTCTAAGCATTAATTAAATAGACCAGTGAATGTTACGCTGGGTAACGAACGCAAAGTGCCTATCTTGACTGCTCCCTCTCAGCAGCAGGAAGATAATAATGAGTACTGCAGAAGGTATCTTGGAAGGCTTCAGAAGCCTTCTGAAATGTTTAAGGCTTTTTAGCTGTGAGGACATGCCTCCTACTGATCAGAGTGCTCTATATTAAGCGTTGGTTAACTGACTACTTGCTCTGAGACAGCTTAAGCCCCCTCATGCCACAATGAATGGCAATTCCCATCGTAACCAGCCAAGCACAGACATTTGTACAGTGGTGGCTGTGAGAAGCAGCTGTGGAAACTCCCAAACATTGGGTGATGGGAAATTGGCACTGCTGTAATTTCTCCCTTGCATTACAGGTGTGCCCACCTCCCACTTGCAGCAGGGAGAAATGCCTGACTGGGCCTTGGCATCGCCAGTGAGACTGCTGGTTCTTCAGGAGATGGAGATACCCTGGCCACTGCTGCTGGCCTCGTATGCGAACCAGTGTTGGGAAGGTGCTTGATCAGTAGTGCTACCTCCTTGCAGTGGGCATAGGAGGCCTCAGGACTATGAGGGAAATGGCCTCCAAAAACACCTGAGCTGGTGGTGTGCCAGTGAGAGCTGAAATGAGCAACACCACCAATTTCCACACACCAAAAGAAACTGGCAAATAAAAATATTTAGCACTGTCACTAGCACACAGCCCTGGACATGTCCTCTTAACCTGAACTTGGCAATCTATCAGCTAGCAGGGACCCAGCTCTGAGCAGTCGAGTTCCTGACTGTGCAATGTACTGTCGTAGCATTTGAGAGCACAAGCCTGTGTGTTTATTTCCAAACAGAACCTGATGAACAGGAAACATATTTCATTGTGGTCTTCAACACAATGATATTTTGAAGCATAACCACAGCAAATGGATGTCTTGTCTACTTCAGGTGTAGATCTGTCCTGAGGCAGTGATATCATCCTCGTTCTTGTGAAGTTTGACTCTGGTGGGAACCAGCTGGTCCAAAAGGCTTTTGTCCAACAACAAAAGCATGTTTTCAATAAAAAGAAACACTCAAGAACTCCCATTCTGGTGCCAAAGTGTTTTCTTCCAAGAAAATGCAAAGAAAATATTGAAAGCACGTTGGAAGACCTCAGAAAGGTTTCAACACTTGGTTTCACTGAGGAATAGCATCTTCTTGAGGAGTGCCCATAGCAGAAAAAACTATCAGTGAAACTGCAGCCCTGATTAGGACAAAGGGTCCCTCTGCCATCCGGACAGCCCAGACCAGGCAAGGGCATAGCAAACCATTCTCTTGTTACTCTCCTGTCGAGCCTTACTCCTCAGATGTCTTGCTGCCCTTGAAGGTAGGCGGTGGGGTGGCCACAGGGGCACAGAGGGCAGCCGGGCGAGGGACATGCCGACGTGTGTGGCTCAGGCGTGCTGTGCGAGCAGTGCCAGGCAGTGACGGGAAAGGCCGAGGATGGCACTGAGGGTGTTTGCTCCTCGTCAAGGTGTCCGTGACTGATAACTGTGTGGCAGTGATTTTTGAGTGAGTGCCTGCCTTTGGAAGGGCAGGAACTGGTGACTGAGCATTGGCAATGTGGGTGCCTTCCCTCCAGCTCTGTGATACTGTTTCCATGCAGGCAGGCAAAACACCCCTCTTGGGCCTATTAAGAATTGGAAAGGGGAAAAAAATCACAGAACAACAATCCAAGTGGCTCTGCTCTCCCCTGGTGAAAACATTTTTTTTCCATGAAAAAGGAAAATAAAGCGTAAAACCAGATTTCATGGAAGAAGTCAGAA